GGGCAGGCCCAGGCCTTACACTGTGTCAGGGTTGGGTGCAGCCTCACCACTGAGTCTGTGTCCCCAAGGTGGGTGTGTGTGGAGGCTGCAGGGTGATCTCTCACTTTCGAGCAGTTAGTGGCCTGTGCTCCCCACTGCCATGCTGGAGCCTCTGCATTTATTTACTGACAAATAAAACTTGCAGAATTTTAAAATATTGTGCACAGAATTTTTAATTTTGGCACAGTGTGCCCTCAGGGGTAATAATAATAATGTACAATTAAGTGTACAATTTGTCCACCAAATATTAAAATTTGATTGCCTTTAGTAAGATAGAGCAATGCAAAATTTCAGAGTGTTTTTTTTTTTTTTAGCTGTTTAACTCCGAAAGTTTGTCTCCAAATTTCCTTCAGATTTAGTGGAAAAAACTGTTACACCCTGGGACTTACCCTACATAACAGAGACTTGAATTTTAAGAGTAATGCATGTGAAAATCACCTTATTGTAATGAAATCCTATTTGCAGTCTTAATTTTGGAGAAACTATTTGTCTGTTCATAATGGTATTATAGAAAATATTCTAAGAAAACCTCATGCAAAAGTTGAGTTCATTGCACATTTATAATCGCTAGCATATTAATATTTTAGCTAGGAACAATTTCCATACAGCTGGGCCCTAAGCTACCAGAGGGGTCAAGTGCATATTCTGGTGAGGGTTTTAAAAACACAAATATTTTGTCATTTAAAAGTTCTAAACTAATACAGTTTTCTTAAAGAGCTGCTCTCCTACCAAGCCAGAAATCCACTATATCTTACACTCAATGTATGTAGACTGTTGATATTGTCTCAGTATATGTTGTTTCATCACAGTGGTGCACTGCTGGTGCTACAGACTTTGCCATTCATATAGCACATGCAAAACTATTGATAGGAGAACTTCAGAAGTTCTAAGATAAAGTAAACATTCCAAAATGTGAATCTGAATCCATAGATTCTCCTTAATATTTTGTGATCTTCTCCCACAAAATCACCTTTCCCCGTTTAGGCCGTAACTCACTGGGTGGAAAATCTAGCAACCTGCTATCCTATCTAGTGTCATTAGGGCAGGCAATAACTTTGCTCCCTCATTTTGGCAACTTTATGGGGGCACTAATCCCCTCCTCCCTCTCCCAAATTATCCCTCAGTATAGTGTTTCCCTCTTTCCACTCTCCCTCTGCCACCTTTGCTGGGTATCCTTTTATTTTTGCCTGTCCCCAGTAGAAGCTTCAGCTTCTCTCCCCGTTTCTCGCCCTCCTCCCCTCTCTGAGTCCTGTTGTCCTCTTTCCGCCTCTACACGGGGTTTTAACAGTTCCCTCCCATTTCCCTGAGGAATCTCATTGTCGTTCTCCACATTGTGGGAAACGTGATAGGATTACAGCATCGTCATTGTGGAGGCTAGCTGAAGCTGCTGCTGTTTGTAGCTGCCTCCAGCTTATGGAAAGCAATGAGGAGGGCAATGAAAGTATACTTGGAATTCTCTGGTTGCTTAGCAGCGCTGGAGCAGTGACTGCTGGTGGTCAGAGGCAAGGACTTGAACCAGTTTTAATTGTATTTTTAGTCTCAGGTACCAGGTTCTTACCTCTCCGATGTCCCTCATTTCAAGGGATGTTACTCATTTTAGATCCAGGGTCACCTAAGATCTGCACAAATTTAGTGTCCCCTCATCTAGGGTTACCATACGTCCTCTTTTTCCCGGACATGTCCGGCTTTTCGGCAGTCAAACCCCCGTCCGGGGGGAATTGCCAAAAAGCCGAACATGTCCGGGAAAATGGCGGCTCTGTTCCTCCCCTGACTCTTCGGCTCTGTTTAAGAGCCGAGCTGCCCGAGCGCT